GAGAGAGAGAGAGAGAGAGAGAGAGAGAGAGAGAGAGAGAGAGAGAGAGAGAGAGAGAGAGAGAGAGAGAGCACGAGTGGAACTGAGTGTGTGTGTGTGTGTGTAGGGTCTCACCTCCCAGGAGTACACGAGGAATTTTCTGACGTCTTCCCTGCTCTGCACCTACGAGTGGTGAAGAGATTGGGCTCTAGGACAATGAGATCTTCCCTAAGAAGCGAAGTGGCAACTATAGTGATCCTACTTGATTTCGTCTGCCAGTTTGTTCCCAGGATTTACACACAGGCTAGCGTAGAACTAAGGGGCTCGTTCGACACTCCTTGGGGCATCCTCGGGGCCGAAGGAAGTTTCCTTGGGGGTTTTCAAGGAAACTCCCGCCATCGTTCCACCTGTCCTCGGGGACGTCGCCTGAGGACATTTCCTTCGAACAATGTCAGACAAGAAAAAAGAGAAGAAAAAAAATATCAAACGTGTTTGAGGCCTTCAGCCAATAGGGTGCCGCCACGATCCAGATTCTCGGTTGTAACGTCTCTCTGCCCATGTGCCCGCTCCTCTCCGTGAAACGCGGATTCCTTTTGCCCAATGGGCAAAAGGAAGAAATGGCTGGGGAATCCTCAGAGGCCAAGGAATTTCCTTCGGAGTGTTTTCACTTTTTTTTGTCCTGACTGCATCCCCGAGGATAGGTGGAATGAACAATTCCTCGGCGACTTTACGCGCCCGAGGAGCGTCGAACGAGCCCCTAAGTACATGGGGCCTGGATAGGTGAAGAGGTCTATGTGGTCTATCCGAACTGGCTACATGAAAAGTTTTGAAAAAAAAAAAACAACAAATCGCCTCGGCTTTCCCAACAGTGGAAATAGAGGCTCGCGTGGGACGCTTAGAGAAAAGAAAAATTTAAAAAATCATCTCAGCTTTCCCAACAGTGGAAATAGAGGCTCACGTGGGACGCTTCCGCCAGACCCTCTGTTTTCTTTAGAGTATACGCGAGACTCAGATTTGACCAAATGTCAGTTATCAGTTAATCCTGTCTCTTATACACATCTAGATGTGTATAAGAGACAGGTGCAGTAGTCTATAGCTTGGATGAAGAAATCCAGTAAAGATCATCATGTGGACGAAAAAGAAAATGTCGGAACTGGAATCTTTGGTGCCAATNCTTTTTTTTTTTTTTTTTTTTTTTTAATAAACCTATATTCTTCTCTCAAGTTCACCTCACACTACCTACCTACCACTACTCCTAATTGTAGGCATGTGGGGAACCCCGTAGCAGCCAGAACTGTGTTCACGAGAGAACATGCGGGGGCTGCTCCCGACCTGCAGGTGGGTTCAATCCCCATTGGCCTTATGTACCTTCCTGGGCATACTTGGCGCCTGCCACCTAGAGATAGACCACTGGATCCCCCTATCCGCATTGAGCAGAGTCTGCGGATGTTCGTAGGGGAGGGGACCTGAGGGGAGGCACAGGGATTGGTCCTGTTGGCATGGTCCCTGATGCTACCGGCTGTCCCCTCTGTTTCCTTTAGAGTATTAGAGAAGAGAAGAGGGAAAAAAAAATAAAAAATCGTCTGATCGACCAGCCAGGTTTGGTGGTTTGCAGCGTCTTCAGGGCGCACCACGGTAGCTTGGAATCCTTCAGTAGACCTTGTCTAAACTATGCGATCACAGGGCGCCCTTTTGAGTCGACTTGGCAACGAACCGCCCTGGACTTCGCGGTCTGGCCTCCGCGACCCCACTCTGTGAATTTCGAGCCAGCTCTTGGACGTCTGTGCAGACTAGGTTCAGATGCGGTCTGCGTATAGCGCGGCCATCCCCTTGGGGGCGCTTCGTTTTGAGCGCCGTGAGCGGGTCATTCTGAACACGTCGGTTTTTCGGACCTGGTCCAAAGCACTTGGGGGCGCTTCGTTTTGATCGCGGTGAGCGGGTCATTGTGGACACGTCCGTTTTTGGGACCTGGTCCAAAGCAGAGGCGGCTCAGGCGGGAGAGGTGACGAGGGGTAACTTTCCAGCCGGCCGGGCGGTGTTTCTCAACACCACGCCTGTATTTATTTGACGCTGTGCTCTCGGCTTGCGTGCAGTGTTGAGCTTCAACGCAGTGCCCTGCTGCAGTAGTGAAGAAGCGCCTAGCAGAGGGAGGAGGATATAGAGGGCGGACTTAGTAGCGGAAGCTGGGCGGCCTGTCGTTGACACGCAGAAGTGTGCACGGTGTTTTCCCGATTCCGGCCATATCTCTGGCTGTGAATCGCGGAGGTGTTGGTCATCGACGAGCCAGTTCTCTTGTAGTCATCACTGTGTCCTTAGCTTGTCGACTCGCACAGGAGTCTTGGCCGTGCCACGTGTACCTCTTTTTGTCGTCGGTGGTGATTGGTCGGGGCTATTGTGTATGGTGTCTCACGTGCGGATCGTTGACTGATCGCTCCATCGTCTCTTGGAGAGTGCGCTGACTCGAATTTCAGTTCGCGACCGGTCGTCCATCGTCTTCTGGGGAGCGTTGACTCGAGTTCAGCAGTCTGCGAATAGTGTGAGCGTTGGTCAGCGGCTGTCTGAGCCCGTCTGCTGGACAGGGTGAGCGTTGGTGAGCGATAAATTGACACGTTGTGAGTGGCCAAGGCCCGAAGGCAAGGTTGCTCAGGGCAATGGCTAGTCAGGCCGTGTTGGCACCGCGCGGGTCGACACAGAGGTGTAATATCTGCAGAGCGGGAACGGGTTTGAACGTCAGTCTGAAGAAGAGAGGAATGCCGATGGGAGTCGTCTATGCTTTTCGTCGTTGGGCAAGGGGTGGAGTCAAAGCTGACACGTGGAGCATCCGTTCGATGTCCACGTCATCGCGGGAAATGCAGCCCTGGAGGAAGCGGTTCTCTCTTGTGCCCTTCCTTGCTCGCCTGTTGGGTTGGAAGGACTTCCATGGGGTTCCTGCGCTTGAGGGTAGCCGCCGCCTTCTCCTGGCGAGTAAGAGTTTACCGAGGCAGCAAGCGAAGGAAGCTCATGAATTGGACGCTGTGACGTCAGTATTGTCGGACTCTGGAGATGCGTCATCAGCTCAACTGTTGACTTTGACTTCGTTGGTGGGAGGCGGAGCTGTCAGTGACCTTGCTACGGCCAGGTCGTCAGCGCTCGCACGGCGTGGAGGTGCTCGTCGGGACCGTGGAGCTGGCTCGTGTCGGGAGCTGGATATCGTGCCACCTGCCCTTTTGATTGGCATCGGTACCCGATTGTCGGGATGCTCGACGGGTTCTTCGAGAGTGATCACTGCATCTGCTTCTCGGAGAGAGGGTGTCGACCCGGAAGAGACGAGGAGGGAGGGGAGGGACGATAGGAGGGATGGATCGGACGAAGGTTTGACGGATAAAGTGCGAGAGACCGTGTCTGACGTGAAAGAAAAGCTTAAGGAGAAGGTAGAAGAGTTCAAGGAGAAGGTGCAAGAAATGAAGGAAGGGGGAAAGGGGGAAAGGGCAGAAATGAGGGAGGGAGGCAGTCCAGGCGGGAGGTCATCTGCTGGGGATCCCTCTGCATCTGCGATGGAGGGTGGGAGTACGCAGTCCACCGGTGGTAGGACCACCGAGGGGTCAGCTGGGAAGGCAGTAGAGGGATGGGAGAGGTGGGCTTCCCAAGCCGCCGAAGGAACGACGACGAGAGGTGATGGTCAAGGACATGGTGGTGCGAAGGAGGCGGGCGGTGTGGAGGGAGTGAGGACTGGTAGGACGTCGAAGGCAGGCAGAGAGAATGAAGGATTAGGTGGTGATCTTGAAGCTGGGAACGCACGTAACGTGTCGACGAGCGGCAGGGACAATGAAGGAGCGTCTAGGAGAGAGACCGAGGATATGGCGGAATCGCTGAAGGAGAAGAAAGATGAACTAAAGACGAGAGTCGAAGAGGGGAAGGACGAGCTACGTGATGTCCTCCTGGGTAGCAGCGGGGTAGGAGCGAAAGTGGTTGCGAAGGTGAGGGAGATGAAGGAGACCGTGCAGGAAAAGATAGAGGATTTGAGCGAAAAGGCGAGGGAGAAGAAGGAAGAGGTGTCGAGTCGGCTGAGAGAGGGGGAGAGGGAAGAGGAGAGCGGAAGGCAGGGAAGAACCGGAAGAGGGGAGGAAGACAGCTACGCGACAACGCGTGGTAGGAGCGACGAGAGGGGGTATGACGAAGGAAGGAGGACGACGTCGACGAGCGGCGCGGGCGTCGTTGAGGGAATGAAGGACAAATTGGTGGGTGTGGTGCATGGGGTGAAGGAGAGAGTGAGCGAGTTGGGGGCGATGGTGAGAGAGAAGTTGGGCGGCAGACCTTCGACAACCTTGAGTGGAGGCGTGGAGGAGAGGAGAGGAGAGGGAGTGGATGAAAGTGCACGTCGTGAAACTGGCCAGGACGTAAGGAGTGCCGCCGGGAGAGCGCGTGATGATGCCGAGTACGAGGCTGGCAGAGCTACAAGAAAGGCAGGAGATAAGGTGGAGGATGTAAAGGAGAAGGCCGAGGACGTGAAGGATCGTGCAAGGGAAAGGGCCGAGGATGCCGAGAAAGGACTGGTGGAGAAATGGGAGGACACGAAGGAGAGAGTATCTGAAAAGGCGGAGGACTTCAAGGACAGAGCCGCTGACATTGAAGACGAAGCGAAGGAAAAGGCGGAGGTGGCGAAGGAACGAATGGCTGCGAGAATGGAGGACACGAAGCAGAGAGCCTCCAGTGTGACCGAGCAGGTTAAGGATAAAGTGGAGGCGATCAAGGATCGAATAGGCGAGACTCTGCATGATACGCGGGAGAAGGTAAGTGAGAAAATGGAGGACCTGAAGGAGAAGAAGGACGAGATGACGGAACGAGCAGGGGAGATCTACTTGGCCACGAAGCGGAAGCTTAGGGATGCAGCAGATAAGGCCAGCGATCTCAAAGAGGGTGTGCAGGACAAGGTTGAGGGCGCCAGGGAGAAGGCTGTGGAAGTGAAGGGCAGAGTCGCCGAGAAGATGGAGGATGCCAAGGAAAGCCTCATGGACGCCAAGGAGAGAGTACAGGACAAGGCGAGTGAGCTGAAGGAGAGCGTGGCAGGTAAGGCAGAAGACGCCCAGGAGAAGGCAGGGAGGATGAAGGACAGGGCAGCTGATAAAGTGGCTGATGTGAAGGAGAAGGCAGCGGAGAAGACCGAGGATGTGAGGGAAAGAGCGCGCCAAGCGAAGGATACTGCAGCGGACAAAGTGTACGACGTAAAGGAAAAGACGGAGGATAAAGCCAGGGACGTGAGAGACAAGGCGGTGGAGGGTAAGGCCAGAGCTGGCGAGACGAAAGAGAAGATGCCTGAGAGAGCAAGTGAAGCGGGAGCAGCAGCCTATAGAGCAGGCGAAGGTACCAGCACGGGACGCGGGACTGACGACGAAGGATCGGATGAGGCCAAACGGAGGGCCGCGGAGAGGGCAGAAGAACTCATGGACAGAGCAATAGAGGAAACCGAAGCAACGAGGGAGCAGGCCGCCAATCTGAGGGAGGAGATTGAGATGGAGGAAGGGGAGGAGAAATCGGGATCGCGGTCACCGAGAGGGGCTAGCGGTTCTTCGTCTGCAGCAAACAAAGGAGCCACGACAGAGAGATCGTCGAGGAAGGGAAACAAGGGGACCGGAGAGAGCAAACTGTGAGCAAACTGTGAATGTTCCCATAAGGCGACAGTCTGCCGGCAGATGAATGGATGCTTAGGACTTAAGTAGGAATCTCTCCCTTGTCTCTGGGCGAGTTAGAGAGTTCTAGAGAGAGAGTTCTAGAGAGAGAGTCTAGAGAGAGAGAGAGAGAGAGAGAGAGAGAGAGGTGAAAATATCTGGGCGAGTTTGAGAGTTCTAGAGCTCTAGAGTTCTAGAGAGCACTAGAGTTCTAGAGAGAGAGAAAGAGAGAGGGAGAGATAGATAGATAGATAGAGATAGAGAGAGAGAGAGAGAGAGAGAGAGAGAGAGAGAGAGAGAGAGAGAGAGAGAGAGGGGAGAAAATGCACACTGATTTGAATACCTCTCTCTGAATTTCTAAAAGCGGTTTTACTACTTGGATATGACCGGGAGAGCATTTTGAGTGGAACCCACCATTATGAATGGTTGTAAGATTCTCCCTCGTCTCTGGGAGAGTCCTAGAGAAGGCCATGAGAGAGGGGAGAAAAGAGAGATGAGGGGGGGGGGGGGAAGACCGAGAGAGGTGAAAATATACAGCGTGAATTGAAAAACTGACTTCTCTCTCAATTTCTAGAAGCCTTTTTACTACTAAATGGATATGACTGACTGAGGAGAGCATAGTGAGTGGATGATTCCACCGTTATGAATAATTGGAACACTGTACCTGTGAGTCTCTCTGAATCTTTTTTTCTCTTGACTGCGAGAGAAGAGAGTAGAGCGCGATAGGAAAGTCGCTACAAAAGAGTAGAGAGCTCTACGCATGGGCACACAAAAATTTTACTTCGACGTCCATACACACACAAACCGTAAGACATGCCCATACGGCCATACAAACGTCCACACACACACAGACCGTACGACATGCCCATTACGGCCGTGCAATCGTCTTGAAGAGTTAATTGAATGGGCGTGAGAGTCGGTGAGACATTAGTATTTGTAAGGGACGCCGGGCCCGCTTCCCGGTACTTCAAAAAAATACAATGTTTCCTTCAAAAGAAAGAAAAACGAAAAAAAAAAAAATTGCGACTGCTGCTGTGTGGTAAGAGTATGTTCCTGATATTGAAAAGTAACTTTCGCTCGCATTTGCTTGGGGGAAAAAAAAGAAAAAAAAAAGTAACTTCTGATCGCATTTGCTTGGGAAAAAAAAAAGACAAGAAGAAAGCGAAAAAAAGAAATAGAAAAAAGAAAAGAAGATATCGTACGGGAGCTGACCGACCCCAGGTAATGCAGATTCAATCGTCGTCTGTTCATCTGGTTCTGTGCGGATTTGAACTGCCTTATATCAACTGAGCTCCGTCGATACAGATTAGCGAGAGGATGCATCGAGATAGATGCGTACTACCAAGAATGATGAAATACATGAGAGAAGAATATAGCTTGCTTCTTTTGAGGGGGATAAAAAAGGAATTAAACTGCATGTGCTTTTTTTTTTTCTTTTTTTTTTTTTGAAGTTCCTTTCAATACAGGGCGACGGCCTTGCGTTATCATTATTGAGGTTGACCGGCCGCAATTCAGAAATGTATCTGGTTTCATTCGTCTAGAACCATCATCTGGATTTGAACTGTGGTGTTACATGCTGAAAGCCTACACACGGGCCCCTCACGGGACCCGAGGTTGGAATAGGGCCCCAGGTTGCGTCACCGCAACCTGAAGGCCCTATGGCATTTTTACTTGGGCCTGCATCAGAAAAACGCCAGCTTTAGATTATTTTTATAGTCTTTATTTTATTTATTTGCTGCTGTTTTTCTAACGGGTGTACTGTTGTCCGTTTTGTGGCCAGGTACACGCTTCTAGGGCCAGGGCCAGATTCAGGCCCAGAGGCTGAGCTCCTAAAACGTTTGGACCTTTTCTTTTGTTTTCGAACAGATTTTGACCTGTTCGAACCCAGGCC